GAAGATTCTATAACATTCTATAGTATGAACCGAATGTGCGGTGAATATTAGGCTAGGAAGATTCTTCAACATTCTATAGTATGAACCGAATGTGTGGTGAATCTAAGGCTACGAAGATTCTACAACATTCTATAGTATGAACCGAATGTGTGGTGAATATTAGGCTAGGAAGATTCTATAACATTCTATAGTATGAACCGAATGTGTGGTGAATATTAGGCTAGGAAGATTCTATAACATTCTATAGTATGAACCGAATGTGTGGTGAATATTAGGCTAGGAAGATTCTATAACATTCTATAGTATGAACCGAATGTGTGGTGAATCTAAGGCTAGGAAGATTCTACAACGCACTATAGTATGAACCGAATGTGTGGTGAATCTAAGGCTAGGAAGATTCTATAACATTCTATAGTATGAACCGAATGTGTGGTGAATCTAAGGCTAGGAAGATTCTACAACATTCTATAGTATGAACCGAATGTGTGGTGAATATTAGGCTAGGAAGATTCTACAACATTCTATAGTATGAACCGAATGTGCGGTGAATATTAGGCTAGGAAGATTCTACAACATTCTATAGTATGAACCGAATGTGTGGTGAATCTAAGGCTAGGAAGATTCTACAACATTCTATAGTATGAACCGAATGTGTGGTGAATATTAGGCTAGGAAGATTCTACAACATTTTATAGTATGAACCGAATGTGTGGTGAATATTAGGCTAGGAAGATTCTACAACATTTTATAGTATGAACCGAATGTGCGGTGAATATTAGGCTAGGAAGATTCTTCAACATTCTATAGTATGAACCGAATGTGTGGTGAATCTAAGGCTAGGAAGATTCTACAACATTCTATAGTATGAACCGAATGTGTGGTGAATATTAGGCTAGGAAGATTCTACAACATTCTATAGTATGAACCGAATGTGCGGTGAATATTAGGCTAGGAAGATTCTACAACATTCTATAGTATGAACCGAATGTGTGGTGAATCTAAGGCTAGGAAGATTCTACAACATTCTATAGTATGAACCGAATGTGTGGTGAATCTAAGGCTAGGAAGATTCTATAACATTCTATAGTATGAACCGAATGTTTGGTGAATCTAAGGCTAGGAAGATTCTTCAACATTCTATAGTATGAACCGAATGTGTGGTGAATCTAAGGCTAGGAAGATTCTACAACATTCTATAGTATGAACCGAATGTGTGGTGAATCTAAGGCTAGGAAGATTCTTCAACATTCTATAGTATGAACCGAATGTGTGGTGAATATTAGGCTAGGAAGATTCTTCAACATTCTATAGTATGAACCGAATGTGTGGTGAATCTAAGGCTAGGAAGATTCTACAACATTCTATAGTATGAACCGAATGTGTGGTGAATCTAAGGCTAGGAAGATTCTATAACATTCTATAGTATGAACCGAATGTTTGGTGAATCTAAGGCTAGGAAGATTCTTCAACATTCTATAGTATGAACCGAATGTGTGGTGAATCTAAGGCTAGGAAGATTCTATAACATTCTATAGTATGAACCGAATGTGTGGTGAATCTAAGGCTAGGAAGATTCTTCAACATTCTATAGTATGAACCGAATGTGTGGTGAATATTAGGCTAGGAAGATTCTTCAACATTCTATAGTATGAACCGAATGTGTGGTGAATCTAAGGCTAGGAAGATTCTACAACATTCTATAGTATGAACCGAATGTGTGGTGAATCTAAGGCTAGGAAGATTCTACAACATTCTATAGTATGAACCGAATGTGTGGTGAATATTAGGCTAGGAAGATTCTACAACATTCTATAGTATGAACCGAATGTGTGGTGAATCTAAGGCTAGGAAGATTCTACAACATTCTATAGTATGAACCGAATGTGTGGTGAATATTAGGCTAGGAAGATTCTACAACATTCTATAGTATGAACCGAATGTGTGGTGAATATTAGGCTTGGAAGATTCTACAACATTCTATAGTATGAACCGAATGTGCGGTGAATATTAGGCTAGGAAGATTCTATAACATTCTATAGTATGAACCGAATGTGTGGTGAATCTAAGGCTAGGAAGATTCTATAACATTCTAAAGTATGAACCGAATGTGCGGTGAATATTAGGCTAGGAAGATTCTATAACATTCTATAGTATGAACTGAATGTGTGGTGAATCTAAGGCTAGGAAGATTCTTCAACATTCTATAGTATGAACCGAATGTGTGGTGAATATTAGGCTAGGAAGATTCTACAACATTCTATAGTATGAACCGAATGTGTGGTGAATCTAAGGCTAGGAAGATTCTACAACATTCTATAGTATGAACCGAATGTGTGGTGAATCTAAGGCTAGGAAGATTCTACAACATTCTATAGTATGAACCGAATGTGTGGTGAATATTAGGCTAGGAAGATTGTATAACGCACTGTAGTATGAACCGAATGTGCGGTGAATCTAAGACTAGGAAGATTCTATAACATTCTATAGTATGAACCGAATGTGTGGTGAATATTAGGCTAGGAAGATTGTATAACGCACTATAGTATGAACCGAATGTGTGGTGAATATTAGGCTAGGAAGATTCTATAACATTCTATAGTATGAACCGAATGTGTGGTGAATCTAAGGCTAGGAAGATTCTATAACATTCTATAGTATGAACCGAATGTGTGGTGAATCTAAGGCTAGGAAGATTCTACAACATTCTATAGTATGAACCGAATGTGTGGTGAATCTAAGGCTAGGAAGATTCTACAACATTCTATAGTATGAACCGAATGTGTGGTGAATATTAGGCTAGGAAGATTCTACAACATTCTATAGTATCAACCGAATGTGCGGTGAATATTAGGCTAGGAAGATTCTACAACATTCTATAGTATGAACCGTATGTGTGGTGAATCTAAGGCTAGGAAGATTCTATAACATTCTATAGTATGAACCGAATGTGCGGTGAATCTAAGGCTAGGAAGATTCTATAACATTCTATAGTATGAACTGAATGTGTGGTGAATATTAGGCTAGGAAGATTCTACAACATTCTATAGTATGAACCGAATGTGTGGTGAATCTAAGGCTAGGAAGATTCTACAACATTCTATAGTATGAACCGAATGTGTGGTGAATCTAAGACTAGGAAGATTCTATAACATTCTATAGTATGAACCGAATGTGTGGTGAATCTAAGGCTAGGAAGATTCTACAACATTCTATAGTATGAACCGAATGTGTGGTGAATATTAGGCTAGGAAGATTCTATAACATTCTATAGTATGAACCGAATGTGTGGTGAATCTAAGGCTAGGAAGATTCTACAACATTCTATAGTATGAACCGAATGTGTGGTGAATCTAAGGCTAGGAAGATTCTACAACATTCTATAGTATGAACCGAATGTGCGGTGAATCTAAGGCTAGGAAGATTCTACAACATTCTATAGTATGAACCGAATGTGTGGTGAATCTAAGGCTAGGAAGATTCTATAACATTCTATAGTATGAACCGAATGTGCGGTGAATATTGGGCTAGGAAGATTCTTCAACATTCTATAGTATGAACCGAATGTGTGGTGAATCTAAGGCTAGGAAGATTCTATAACATTCTATAGTATGAACCGAATGTGTGGTGAATATTAGGCTAGGAAGATTCTACAACATTCTATAGTATGAACCGAATGTGTGGTGAATCTAAGGCTAGGAAGATTCTACAACATTCTATAGTATGAACCGAATGTGTGGTGAATCTAAGGCTAGGAAGATTCTACAACATTCTATAGTATGAACCGAATGTGTGGTGAATCTAAGGCTAGGAAGATTCTTCAACATTCTATAGTATGAACCGAATGTGTGGTGAATATTAGGCTAGGAAGATTCTATAACATTCTATAGTATGAACCGAATGTGTGGTGAATCTAAGGCTAGGAAGATTCTATAACAATCTATAGTATGAACCGAATGTGTGGTGAATATAAGGCTAGGAAGATTCTTCAACATTCTATAGTATGAACCGAATGTGTGGTGAATCTAAGGCTAGGAAGATTCTACAACATTCTATAGTATGAACCGAATGTGCGGTGAATATTAGGCTAGGAAGATTCTACAACATTCTATAGTGTGAACCGAATGTATGGTGAATCTAAGGCTAGGAAGATTCTATAATCGAATGTGCGGTGAATATTAGGCTAGGAAGATTCTTCAACATTCTATAGTATGAACCGAATGTGTGGTGAATCTAAGGCTAGGAAGATTCTATAATCGAATGTGCGGTGAATATTAGGCTATCGACAACACACAATAGTATGAATAGAATGTGTGGTGAATAAAAGGCTATCGACAACACACAATAGTGTGAACCGAATGTGTGGTGAATATAAGGCTTTGAAGATTCGACAACAAACTATAGTATGAACAAGAGGTCAATAATTAACTGAAAGAGAAAGTCTTTCCAGCTTTACAAGAAAAGTCTCACAAGACAAAAAACGTTTTTGGAAATAATATTTGACTGTGTAGAAGATGTATGTTTTACAGTACAAACTCCTCAGTCTAACATTATAACATGTTCCTAACTCAATCTTTATAATCACGATCGGGATTTGGGGTTCAGAGCTTCCTCTTATTTGGCTGCCCACCAGAAAAAAACCAGCTCTGAACTTCGAATCTCAATAGAGATTGCAAAAAATGAGTAATGAACAGGTTATGGTATAACTGAAGATTTTGTACTGCATGCAAACTGAAGAGTGAGGGTTTTAGCAGGATCTGGGACATAATATATTATTCCCCAGGCAGAAGGTGCTTTCTAAAACTGGCCAAAGTGGGAAAATATTTGTGTTTTGCCTTCATAGTCGACATCACAGTGTTTAGGTTTGATTCCCATTTTGATTCTCGAACCGATTGACAAATTACTAAGAATCTCAATCTTAATTGAAAGGCAAAATCACGTTTCTTGCAATATAGATTGCGTTTCGTTTATTTTCTCACATTACAGAGCACACTCCATTTCAGATTTTACAAATGTATTTTATGAATCGCCGGCTTGCTGACAGTAATGTTTGTGTGTTGTCAGTAAATCCCGGATTGGTAGACACAGAAATAACGCGAGGATTTCAAGATTCTTCATGGATGACTTGGTCCTGGAAAATTGTAAGAGGTAATTTGCTACTTAGGTCATTGATAGTAAAGTATCTAAATCAGGTTTGCTACACATTTTGACCCTACCACGAGGAAGAAAAATAAGGTCAAGATTATAAGCCATATGCTAATAACAAAAACTTGTACAAAACATATATTAAAGGCATAGTTTCGGAGGAACAGACGTACTAATGAAAATTATCCTGATCAATCATATGTCAATTGAGGTCAAAAACAGCTGACGAATGACAGACTAGGTCTCGTCAATGAACGTAATCTATGTATAACTGGTAAATTATAAGATACAAAGATTTGGTTAGGAAGTTTGGCTGTGACCGTAGAATTCTTATTTACAACAGGATGTCACATTCTAATTTTTACGGTGATGTAGTTAATAGAGCTCAACAATTTAGAAATAATCCATGTAAACTCATTGACTTATTGATCATTTGAATAAACTTGCTATTAAAGGTTATTAATTTACCATCGTAGTAAGGTTTTTTTCCCCTCTGTATTAACATTGATTTTGTTTTTGATAAATTTAAACATAACCAAATAATTATTGCTAATGCCTATAGTTATTAAAACTTATGGTCCTACTTCCTGTCGATACTTCCTACTTATATTTTGGCATTGTACAAGGCCATTTTTTCTCATACTGCTTTTGACGTCTTTAGGGGTCGCCCTGATATTCCAACACCCCACTAGTCTGACGCCCCATTGACCCGACATCCTATTGGGGCAGCCCGATATTCCGATACCCCATTAGTCCGACACCCCATTTGTCCGACACCCTATAAGTCCGACGCCTCATGAGTCCGACACCCCAATGGTCCGACGCCTCAATATTCCGACACCGAATAATTGAACAATAGTTAATATCTTTTTATATAAGAAAGCCTGCTGAAATGTTTATTTACTATTACAACTGTGTTTAGAACCGAACGCCTTGTCCTTCGACTGATGCAAGTTATCAAGGTATGTTGATAGACATGTATTTGTTAAAATATTTGAAAATATTCCCTAATACAACATATAAAATGATCGAGACGCGTACCACGTTATCTTGCGTGACTAAAAAACGAGTACTATCAATTTCTTAACTATATTGAACATTTTATAAAAACTAGAAAATAATTTGTAAGTTTTGTCGAATTACTTGCATGCAGATTCGTAACTGTGTATTTCTCCTCAAGCAGAGATAAGACTCTAATGCCTTCAAAATAGAACTAGATGTAAATATAAAAATAAGAAGATGTGGTCTTCGTTTGACACGTTCTCCGTAAGTAATCTGTTTTGACTATATGAATTCACAATAACAATATACAAGCTGGTAAATAGTTATACTGAAAACAGCAATTAAACTGGGTAATCAAATTAATAATTTTCATCATTTTCTAGACATCTAACAAACGGGGAGATCAGATGGTTATGGAGTTTTGTAGGAAATCCGTATGTTGCTATGCAATAAACCCCTTCTGATCCTAGCGGACTATGTATTTTTCTAGTGAAGATAGGTCATAGGAACATGTCACTATGCCATATGATATTTATGAAGCTAGATCAGACAAGTTTGGAAAAAAAAAAACAAAAGAAAAATTAAACGATATGAATAGCCAAGGCCGTACGTATAGATCACTTTTTCCCGCGTTTTTTCGTTTTTTTCTAGATAACGTAATAATGCATATTATTATTATGATGTAATAATGCACATGCTCATTGACTATTGTGTAATGAAGGATATTGCTAATTGACTGTCATGTAATAAGGCATATTACTGATTGACTGTTATGTAATAATGCATAATATAAGTTTAATATAATACTGCATTTTACTATATGATTGTTATGTAATATATGCATAGACATGTATTAGTAAATACAGACGTAATAATGTGATGTAATTGGAACGCAATAGTGCTTCGTAAGGTAGTATGATATGCTGCTGTAGCGCAAAATTAGTTGTTATGGTAAAAACAATACAGTTTAGCAAATGTAAACTAGCAGAATTATTGCACCACGTACTTATTTTTTTTAATTTGTAATTAGCCTAATTGGTGCTCCTTACATTGAAGCTTGTTTGTTAATGTCTTTGTTTTCGTTCAACTTTTCTTTGCTTATAGATAATTGTTGGGTTTTCTTCATAACATATAAATGGTTATGAATTAAGATTGTGATACCGTAATTAGGTGAAAATATAAAAATGTACAGATATATTGATCGCTTGAATTGAATACATGCTAAAATTGATATCATTGGTACTTGTTTTTTAATTCAATGTTTATATATTATATATATATATATGTACTTGTCAACAACGCTACACCAATCTTTACACTTTTGTGCTTGTCTTGGTGTGTGTGTGTGTAGCATCGATATTTAAGGTGATCCTGTATTTATTCAAAGTATACTTTTTTTTTTAATTCCTTGAATAAATATATGTGTTTAGATGACATTCTTTTTTTTTTTATATACCCTTGTATTGAGTTCAATACTGACAAAACACGCATTGATGTATCTTTTTGAAGATTTGAATATCAACTAGGATAATAGGAATAAATGTATTTTTATTTATGTACACTTGTTACATTCCATATGGGATTGTTCTAAAATCTTTTTTCAACACCCATTTGTCAAATACAATCTTGTAAGTTGTACCTTCTGCACGAGTGATAATGTTCGTAGTTGTAACTTCACGACAAATTTTATTATCATCAGTTACAGTAATTTTCTTTGTTTTTCCCTCTACAACATCTTTCATTGTTTCAAAGTTCAGTTCGAGTGAATTCTTATAGTTTAAAGTTATTCCTCGGATTTTGCAGCATGTCAAGTTTCCATCTTTATCGGGCTTTTTCAGTTTATAACCATAATTCTTAGGTCCTCCTGTTTTAAAACACTCAATTGTATTATTTGGTGTTTCATCTGTTAGATCACCTAAATAATCACCAGTGTTTGGCATCCAATCCACAGGTTTAGAGCTGAAAATGATGGAATCGGTATCACAAAATAGGGCTCGCTCTTCGAGGCTTTCTAGATATTTATATAGTTCCAGACGAGCCTGTGTCGTAGTAAAGGCTGCTATTACCACATTCGTTCTTCCGGTTTCTTCAACAAATTGTGACTGGTTAATCCAATGGATTCTGACCATATCGTCTGTTACAAAATTGACGTCTTGGACTTCTTGACTATCACTGGTCAGGATATCAAAATAAACGGCGGGATCTGTTAAATATGTTGTACGTGGTAAATTTAATCGTTGACCAAACTTTCCCCAGAAGCTGTAAATAAAATGATATAAATGAAAATAAGTTAAGCTAAAACAGTCTCTATTTCAATTAAATATAGGCAACAGTAGTATACCGCTGTTCAAAAATTACAATTTACAAGTAAATATTTAAAACATGTGCCTATATACATTAAGCTTTTTTTATAATTATTATCATTATCTTGTATAATAAACAACTAACCTGTTAAGCATTAATTTAGCCAGTTGTCTAAGTCCTGGGTTCCAATTAATGTTTCGTGCATCAAGCCTGATACCTTCTTTTTCGAAGTAGTCATCTACGTACTTTTGACGGTCTTCTTCTGTTTTGCACCAATCGGGCCACCCACTTGCTTCTTGTTTGATTTTTAGAAATGTATTTACATATTCTGTAAAAACACCACCCTGTCTTATAAGTGGGTCATATTGTGAAACGTTTTCAAAATGCCAGACTTCACATATTTCTTCTTATAACCTTTTTGTACGGCCTTTCGTCACTAACCCAAGTACCTATCAAAGCTCTGCTATCGACGTCATGGCAACAGTCTTCAGTAACACCATCTTCCATAAAAGTCCGACATAATCCAAAAATCAGTTTTACTCTTATTCTAGCGGGAAGAACGGGGAGATATAAATTTCTTGGAGGGATGACTTTACATTTGACCAAGCCTTCGTATTCATCGATGTTCCTAAATTTTCTGTGATTATCATGGGGTGTCCAAGTAGAATCTTTCCTGTTTTGTTGATAAATGGATAAAGCGAAGTTTCGTCATAATAGTTTATGGTTTCGTCTTTGGTCGCCTCTTTATACATTGTGAATGCGTCGGTCCGCCCTCCGTAAAATGCTTCTCTTGGTTCAAAAGGATAGTGCATAGCATGGCTCTTCACAAACTTATTTAGATCCGCATTACTCCAAACTTCTTTGTCGAACTCACATTCCCAAATACAGATGTATTTATACCCATTCTTTTCTAGAAAACTTCTCTTATCGACTGTTCTTTGATATAAATCAGACAGAGATGTACCAGTTACTGGATTCGTCGTTGACATAGCAAAGCATTTAGGACAAGCATGCCAGAAGCAACCGTGAAACTCGTATACAATCTTTTCACCATCGAGAGTCTCATGGTATCCATCAGCCAGAAACGGACTGATCTGTTTTTCTCCTCTATTTCTTGCATGCGTTATATCAATACCATCTCTTTCCGAAATATATTGTAGCCATTGTATTGCTTTAATGGACTGCTTTTGCTAGGGCCTGTATCAATTTGGGGGTATAATACCAATACTATCATACTCCAGGAAGTTTCTACGGAAGACAAGATTACATGCTGACGCTATTGTTAAACAATTCTCGAAGGGATCGACGCCAGGCTTATTGTGAAGTGAAGTAGCTTCCACGAACATCTTACGGAATGCAAGGCAACCTTTTCGAAGTATGTCTACATCTGATTTACAATATGTCAACAGTTGCTCTTGGAAATTAAAACAGTCATACTTATGTTCATTGTACCATTCTATAAGTTCCTGTCTTTTTTCTGGTTTCATTCCATTGGGGTTGTAATATTTCATGATCGGTAGCCCCTGAAGTATGGCATTCTGATTTTCCTTTGTATTCATAAGATGTGGAAAGTATCCCTTACATAATTCCGTCAAACCAAACGACTTCCGAACTTTTCAAGAGCCATGGGTAAAAAATTCATTGAATCTATGAATCTGATGTTGCACTTAGGTACATCGATAGACATAAACTTTGAC